AGCGACTGGTGCTGTCGATGACGACGAAGCGGTAGGTGCTACCGATGTGTGGCCAAGGCGAGATCGAAGGGTATCGTGGACGCCGGGAGCTGAAGGTGCAGAGGTTTCAAGCGTAGTTTGCGCAGGGTGCGCCTTGCTGGGGACGAAGCGGAGAGACTAAGCATGTGTAAATATTGAATGCGTGCATGTATTGTATGTGCTCTTGGGATAGCCCACCATTTTGAATCTCAGTGGCGTGCGGGGTTTGGGAGAGTGATGTAGGGCCAATCGACGTATCGAACTCGTTGAATTAGGTTGGTTAAGTTGTCGAACTAGGTCAAGAGTAAGGTATGGATGTCGAGTGGCAGGTTGTCAAGCAGTTGCTATCAACGGAGCTCTAGGCTACCTGGAGTGACGCGCTTCACTAGCGCCTTGGCAATTGGTCCGAATGCTCGAGGTTTGATGCTACACCAACTCGCAGACACACGCAAATTGCCCCTACTAAATTATGCCAATGCCTATGAATATGGATATCTACTAAAATCTCTACACGAATCATATATTAAATAGCCCTAGCAGTCAACATAACTCCTAAGCTCACCAGGCCTGCCATGAGTATGTTGACAGCATTGTTGTCCAACAAATCACTCCCAACCTCAATCTTTCTACTCACATGCTGCGGGTCTGCAACCGCCGTTCCACTTGCTCCAGCTTTCAACATTGTTTTCGAAGCCCCGATCGATGCTGCTGCATCCGTACCGCTGGCCTTAGCAATGTCATCTTTGCCCCCCGATCGACTACTAACATCGCTGTGTACAAGCACCTTTCTTCCTCCCTCACCTTCAACAACCTTGCCCGAGTGTACGTCAACAACGCTAGCCTGGAAGAGAGCTCCTAAAAGAGAATCAAGGATTGTTCCACTAAAGCCGGCTGCTGTCAATGCAAGAGTATACTTTGTCTTTTCAACAAAGCTCCAGTCTTTGCAAAACGGCATGAACATCGTAGAGCTGAGGGAGATTACCAGCGCGCCGAGTAGTCCTGCACCAAGACCCGTCGTGGTCACCCCGCCGTTTGTGCCAGGCGGGACGATACGCCATGGAGCGGTTATCAGGCGTGGCTTGGATTTCGACAAGATTCCAAGTTCAGATGAAAAGGTATCTGCAGCGACTGCGGCGTAATTTCTGATACATGTCAGCATCAAGTCCGTGGCCAAAGGCGAATGCCATACGCTACGATGCCTGTTACCAATACATCACTGTTTCCGGTCCAACAGCGACCCTCATCTTCGTATCGTCCGTCCTTCCTGAGCTGCCAGAGGTGGAGCAGTATTAAAACAGAGGCTACACCGGAGTTTGCGACCACTTGGATGTGGTTGCGCGCACCTTCTCCACCGGATGCACCAGTCGCAGACTGAGTAAGCTTTGCTTTAATGTCATGCTTGACCTATATCTTGTTATTACCGTCTAGTTTGAAGCACAAACGTGACATACTTTAGTGACGGAACTCCCGGCTAAGAAGAAGACGCCAAGTAGTACTGTGAAAACGCTCCAAGGATGCAAGGTATGAATGACGGCTGTCACAAATGCCGCAAGGATGCCAACAGGAGTCAGCGAGTTCCGCGACCACGCTCTATAGATGAGCGCAGCTATTACAGTGACAGCTATTATGGGCTTCATGCTTGATGTTTTGGTTTTGATGTACAGCGACACGGAGATGTGGCACAAAGACCGCGAGCTTGCTTATGTACTTCTTATGGGGTGGGGGCTAGTACACCATCGAACCCCGGCTTGGCATAAACTACTGAAGGTATCAACTCCGACGTCGCAACTTCGCTCATCCCGTTCTTGATGAAATTTTTCAATAATATCGATATCATGGCATCACTCGAAGTTCCAAAATGCGCCCTGCAATTTGTCGGATCATTGTACAATTACTTTTCAAAGCTCAACTTCACCCCACAAAGCCCCAAGGCAACCAAGGCTATCAACAGAACCAATCCGAAAGACAATTAAGACGCAACGCAGTATCTGAGAAATCGACCACACAACTGGGTACCTGGACAAAGCTACGAGCATCCCACTTTTACCCAGGCATCTACATGTCGAGCCTGGTCGTGTCTGCCTATGCGTCTTGTACTGCCATGGGATAATCTACATGAAGCCGAACCCCGAAGTTGCATCCAATCTGAATCGGATTGATGGTGGAGGCGCAGCATAGAAGCCACCGAATGTTTCGAGCTACGCAATGCTCGAGAGAGCTAAGCGTTGCTTGATCGCGCTTCAAATTGCTTAAATGCCTTGTGCGTATGAGACGACCTTACTGAGTACAGCCCGGACACAAAGTGGTAGTTGCATCGTATCGGGGTGGCTGCGACCTGCCAATCGCAACTGGATATTTCCCGGGCTGTGCCAAGGCCAGTGTTGCGATTGGCTCGTCCAGCTCGCCCAATTAGGCACAACCGACTACTAGACAAATCATGCAATACGAAGAGGATAAGGCGCTCACCTTCAGACGCCATTGGATAAACCAAAACTTCTAGATCCGTAAATTCCGCTTTGTGTTCAAGGACACACTCATCACAGCCACAATGGCCCACTCCAAGCGAGTAAACATGTTCGGGAAAACAGGTCGCCGTATTAAACAAAGTAGTATTAAGCAACGTGGTATCAGGGGATATACAGTGATATCAAATCGAATTCAGCTCGTTTCTCTTCCCGTTCCTGGATAACCTCACAGGTGTTTTAGAATGGCTATCTTCCTATTCAAGTTTATCCGGGGAAAGCTCCGAGAACGCGAAGCACAAAAAGCCATTCCTACCACAGATAATTCACACTTAGTACCCGAGCGCACATCAGCACATGAGCTTCAAGATATTGTAACCAATCACAACCACACAACCTCACAAGACTCAACAGGAAGTCATGTCAACTTCCTTACTCCAGAAGAGGCAGCACAGCAGAAATCTCAAGACCACAAAAACAAGATTCGACAATGGAAATTGCTGTTAGGACTTGTGTTACCTAACTTCCTAGCTGCCATGGATGTCACTATCGTCGCTCCAGCCATTCCACTCATATCATCCCATTTCGGTATGTCAATCCTGCAAGACAACTCCACAAACACAAACACATGTTCTAATCCACATCTCCAGACAAACTCTCCGGAAACTTCAACTGGATCGTAGCAGCCTACACTTTGACATTCACCACATTCATCCCGATGTCTGGGCAATTAGCAGACATCTACGGCCGCCACTTTGCTCTGCAGTTCGAAATGTTCTGGATCATGATAGGCAGTGTACTCTGTGCGTCAGCTCAAACCTGGGGCATGCTGCTTATAGGACGGGCACTACAAGGGCTAGGTGCTGCGGGAATCATGAATCTGAGCCGGATTATATTGTCGGATGGTACGACGCTGGCTGAGAACTCGAGTGGCATTTCCATCTTGTCGTTGATCAGTGGGTGCAGGTAAGTCTTCTTTGTATGCAGGAGTCCAATTTATACAAAGAGCTGAGTTTGGAAATAGCTACGCGGTAGGACCGGTTATAGGGGGCCACCTCGCAGACGCAGGCTGGCGCTACATATTCGTCCTCCCCATAGGCGTCGCCGTCCTCGCCATGGTCCTCATCGCCCTGCTCATGCGCAAAGAACTCGTTCAAGGCCGCGCGACAACTCAGTCTTCAACCTCTCACCACAAAAACTATATATCCGGCCTCGCAATCATCGACTGGCCAGGCCTCACCACATTCATCCTAGGTGTTGGCTGCATCGTCCTCGCCACACAATGGGGCGGAACCCAATATCGCTGGTCTTCTCCCGCCGTCATCCTGCCCCTCATCATCGGCACCATCCTCTGCATCCTCTTCTTCACCCACGAGTACCTCCTCGCCCCTAACCGCGCCATGTCGCGCCTTTTCCCCCGCCAAATTCCCATGATACCCTCGACGCTCTTCCGCAAAAGAGACACCACGCTCCTCATGATCATCAATTTCTCAGCGGGAATCAGCTTGGTTTGCGCGTTTTACTTTATCTCGTATTACTGGCAGCTCGCGGAGGGGTACTCACCTAGTCAGGCTGGTGTGCAGTTGTTGTATTATACGCCGGGTCTGGGCATGGGTGTCTACTCTGCTGCTCTGATGTGTAATGTATGGCCAGGCCAGACGTTCTTCCCCCTCTTCATCGGGTCCGTGGTCGAGGCCGTGGGGCTCGTGCTGCTCACGTACTCCGTATCTATCAGATATACGACGCTGGTTAGTGTGTTCCTTGCCGTTGCAGGCGTAGGTACGGGGTTGCGCTTTATGCCTGTTGCGCTGCATGCGGCGGGTGTGTGGTCGACGCGCGTGCCTAGTATGCAGTCGCTGCTTTCTTTTATGCTCCCATTGGGCGAGACTGTGGGCATATCCATGATGGGAAGTGTGTTTTCTAACAAGTTTTCTACTTTTCTGGCTCAGATTGCCCGGCGTGCAGATGGTGCTGCGCTGGGTGGCTCTGGGATTCCGAGTTTGGAACTGCTGGACAGCCTTCCGACAGTGGTCAAGAAAGAGGTGCGGGATGCAGCGGCCAAGGCGGTTATGTGGGCGTTGATTTCCGTACTGCCGTTTATGGGACTAGCAGTTGTTGCGGCGGTATTCATGGGGAATGTGTGGATTGGGAAGGCAGAGAAAGAGGCAAAGGATGGGAAGAAAGGACAAAAGGCGGAGAAAGGAAAGTTCATGTATGGTGTTTATTTGCTCGCGTGGTGTACGGGGAATGTGGACCAGCGGAAAAAAGATCTGGACGTTGATATGGAGCATGATTAGGTGAGGATAGAGCAAAAGTAGTGTGCGACGAAAGTTTAGACAAATAGAGTGTAATATCATTACTTTGTTATTATGTCCAAACTATCCGAGATATTCGATAGATATATCAACACCTCTCAAGTCCAACCAAGAAACCCAAATCCATTACTCATCCCATCAGGTCCAGGTTCTCCTCATCCACTATTCAAGCTAGACCTTTTCCAACACTGATAACTCTCCCCGCCTAACAAATCCGCTCCCCCGGCTCTTTCCACGGCACGCCCAAAATCTCAAAAATCCTCCTTTCACTCCTCCCCTCAATCAACACCCCATCATTCAACTTCTCACCCTTCCTCCCTCTCAAAACATCCGTATACAACCCCCGCTGATTAAGCTTCATACCCTTCTTCCGTGCCAACAACCTCATACTCCTATTGAAAACATCATCTCCGGTAAAATACAAAAGTGCGGCACCCATTTCCTGCTCCGGGACGACCAAGAAGTCTATTCTGCGCCAGACGGTGGAGGAAGGGAGACAGGATGCGCCGTGCCATTTTGAGCTGCTGGAGTCGCTATAACGGGATGACGTTAGCGAGGCTTTGAGAAAGCCAGTCTTTTGTAGGTGTGGAATGAGGACTTCGAAGACGGTAGTGCTCATAGCGGTAGGTGACATGTTGGGTCGTGATAGCATGATATCAATGTCGCCCGAGTCCTGTGCTCCACGGCGGTAGCTTCCCATTATCGTTGCACTGAATTCTGGGTCGATTTCTTTAAGTGCGGCGGCGACTATAGCGCCGTGAACTTCGACTTCGGCGCGTGGGATGCGGGAGTTGAAATCATGGTAGTGTTCGAGTCCGATCTTCTGGTTTTCAGAGAGGGTGGTTTTGGTCTTGAGATCGTCGAGGGTGCGGTGGCCGGCTTGAATCCATTTGTTGGCATGGGCAAGGCCGACGCCATAAATACTGAGGAACAAACGTAAGGATACGTCCTGGGGGTTGTGACGGGTACTTTCGAGTCGTCGGAGGCGATCTGTGAGCACGATTTCTTCGATTTTTGTGGCAAGGCGTGTACCGATAGAAGGCAGTTTTGCGGCTTGTTCTGCAGTAGTGATCTTGACCGTTTGTTTCTTCAGAGTGGCAACGCATTTTCGGTAGCTTAGGGTTCTCCATTGGTCCTGCATACTATCGTAATACTTGCACATCTCTTCTAGTATCTGGATTGTTCGGGCGTTTGGGTTCCATGAAATATGGCTACTGGAACTTGGATCCATACATTGAAAACTGTTCATATTGAATGACTTCTTGTCGCGCAACGCTGATACTTTTGACAAAACATTGAGCCTCTTGAGGTAATCAGTACCCATTGGCAATAGCTCTTGATCCATGTTCGAGTTCTCTATAGTGTTCACAGATGTTGAACTAAGTTGCTCCATTTCTTCATCTTCATCAATGGGTAGGTACGCGAGGGATCTAGCCTCCTGGATGGCTTAAACAGGTCATTCCCAAATTGATCTCTGCCCTTTTGTACGGAGACTATAGCAGCCCCTGGAGAGGACATGATGAAGCTATCTTCTACTGTTTCTTCGAGAGGACTTGAGGGCGCTGCATCTGTATAGGGATGAGTGGAAGGTACACTTTCTTCCGTGGGATGAGAGTCGGTCTTTTGTGTCTCCTGTGTCGCTTTCTTTCTTTGTGAGGATTTTATCTGTAGCGAGTTTTGCGACGTAGTTGATGTATAAGAGAGGTCTGGTCCTTGATCAAGTTCGCTTACTCCTTGGGTACCTTTTACAGCAAAGTATGAAACGGTAGGATCTAAGAGCTGCCCACGACTAATACATTGCGGCACATATGGATCGAACTTGACCACGACAACGTTCTGATTATCTGTCAGCTTGCTATATTACCAGCTTGAAATTCACGTACTGGAGATATTGGTCTGCCGAGATGCCGCACCAATTGAGTATATGTGTACGTCCCATCATCGAACATAACGTGTGTGATACTATCGCTCCATTTATCCGCCCATGCAGCACCAAGCTGAATGACCTTGTGAATGCGTCTTCGTCGTGCCATGGAGATATCATCATTAGGGTAGAAGTAGACGATCTTCTCTTTGAGCAATTGCTTATTTCCAGGGAAGAGCCTGATATTATCGGCAGGCTTCACAATTTTTCCATTTTTGAGCTCATGAGGAATGGCGCCCGCGCGTTTATAAAAAGGAGTACATTCTTTGTGGAATATTTGGGACAGAGATATCGTCCTCTTCAAACGACTTTTGCCACTATCTGTACCTACATTAGGACCGTTGCGTGACTTGGGAATTTGGACGCTCTTGGCGGGTTCGGTTGGTGGTACCGTAGTCGACCGAATTAACTTTTGATTAATTTGCCGATTAGAAGTGCGCCGTCTCTCTGTATGCTCCTCGAACTGTGCCTGCATTTCTCGAGGTGTTGGTCCATTGAAACTGCCCGAACGGCTCGGTAGTGAGGTTACTAGTATATGTTTTGATTCTTCCAGTGCACGTTCAAGGTTAAGCACACTTTCGTCAGGGATATATAGCTCATCGTCTGAAAGGTTGAGAAGGGCCTGTTCCTCGAAATAGATGATTTTAGCTAGGAGCTCGGGGTCCGACATCGCGCCCTAACGCGATTGCAAATCGATGATAGAATAAAAATGACGATTGAGGTTGTTGTTGTTGTTAATAGGGATACTGCAATCACTTTGTCCCAGATACTACCCAATATCCAAAACTACGACTCGATTGTTAGGGACAAAGTAAATGTAGGATATTCGATAGGCTGCGCTTCAAGCGCCGTGAGCCCAACGGTTTTGCAACTATTTATGCTGTGCTGAGACTGCTAGTGAAACGGGACGCTGAAAACGTATCGGTGAAAGAGTGGAGAAACGCCACCAGGCAACCGGCGCGTGTCAGATTGTCGTTTGACGCGAAATCACGTGACGCTACAAACAGTCCTCCGGCAATCACTTTCTACGTCTCAATACTTTGAATCTCACTTCTTGTACTTCAAATAAGTGCAGAGCGATCCTACGCATGGGAATATGAGGAAAAGATTAAGAAACCAATATATACGTTGTTTTGAGTAGTCTATCACTTTGCTACAGACATTGAATACAACATTTCAAGACCAGGCACTTTACTTCAACCTTACTTAAGACCTAGATGACATCCTCCTCTTTCCTATCGTAGTACTCTCACTTGCGCCGGCCACCTTTTGTGCCAACTTCGCATCAAGCTCGGTAACAACACCCTTTCCAACTGGCTTTCCAAGGTTATTGCTCATTGGCGTAACAACATCACACCGCAGTGATTGGGCAGGGCTCATACGCTCCATCCTCGTGTTGTTCGTCTGAATGAGCAGTCTCTCACGTGAATCTGCACTGGTGTACGGCTTCCACTCAGCAGCACGAGTAGCGCGGTCGGTGTTGGGGTCCAGGTTGCGAATGAAGCTCGTCCAGTAGCTGCGTACCTGAGAGATGATGGGCTTGTTGGTGGTAGAGTAGCTAGGTGGCTCTTGGCCATCAGTGCGCTTCAAGCCCCAGAAAGCGTAGACGTTGACGGTGTGCCAGGCGCCCAAGCCGGATGCCTGGTCGGCTGGATCTAGAACATTGTACTTGTAGTTGTACGTGGGCACGTTGTCGCGTGCAATGGCGTTCTGAATGTTGCGTGTTGGGCAGTGGCTACCGATATCACCAATTGCATTGGCAGCGTCAGGCCAGAAGAGTCCTTTGCCGGGAAAGGCGGGCTTCGTCGTCTTCAAGTAAAGGTCGCTAAGGATTGAGATAGAAGAGTTGCTCAGACTTGGGTCCTGACCTCCTAACCATTTCGCTGCATCGCTTGTGGTGTTGAGACTCTGTGGCGCGTTTTTGGTACCTTCGTCTGCGCAAGTGCCCATGATGGTCGGTACCTTGGCGTACTTGCCTTGCTTGAAGAGGTTCACGAGCGAGTCAGTGAATAGCTCGCCGTCGATGTTGGGGTTGAACCAGCAGTTAGAAGAGCGGATGGCCGACTCATTGAGAGCGCGTAGGCAAGAAAGGCCGTCGGTCGCATTGGCGCAACCCTTGTCCTTAAGCAGGCATTCATACTGCTCCTCACCCAGCTCTGGAGTACGCATTGTTACCCAAGGGCCTGACTCCATAATGCCACCTACAAACAGCTTTTTGCCCGTGTTTGCCGCCATCATGAGCGCAACAGATGTTCCACCGGCACTGACACCATCAAGAACAACATGATCTGGATCACCACCGAATCGACTGATGTGCTCCTTAACCCACTCAAGCAATTTGATCTGGTCGCGTATGCCAGCATTGACATCGCCACCTCCTTCCTTCACCGCTTTGCCGTTGAGGAAACCGTACAGGCCCACACGGTAGCTGAATTGAACGAATACGACTTGGCCATCCGCAACTATCTCGGTGGGATCCCAATTGGCGCTAGACTGCGAAATGAAGCCACCTCCTTGGAAGAAAACCACAACTGGTAATTTCGATTTGGTGGTAGCCTTGGAAGGCGCATACACGCTCAAATAGAGACAGTCTTCAGCGATATGAAAGCGTGAGTAGGTTCCAGAAACAGTCCAGTCATCAGGACGGCTGGGTGGGCATGTTGCACCGTGTGTAGTAGCGTTGATGAGACCGGAAACTACGGGATCTTGCGGCGCTGCGAAACGTAGCTTTCCCACGGGCGGTGCAGCGTACTGGATGCCTTTCCAGGCAGACACTCCCAGATTGGAATCAACGATAGCTCCTTGGTATTTCGCGTAGCCAACATCGACGATAGTATCGACGGCCTGTACGATCGAAGACAAGCTCGCTCCGACGGCGAGTAATTGGTAAACGTGCCTCATCTTCAAGACGAATGACGGCAAGAAAGAAATGAACGGAAGCAGGAGATGTCCTTGAGAGTAATGAGTGGGAGAAACGCTCAACTGCTACTCTGTTGTCTCCTTCCTATGGTGGCTATTTGAACATATCCCTTCGAATGTTCATGCAACCCCTTGAAACGTGCTAAGCCTGTTATAGCAACAATGTAATGATATTAAAGTTTGTTTCGGTCCGTAAGCGGGGGTGAACAATCACATTGCCATATGCGTTCATGCCCTGTGCCGTTGGAGTCGGACCGTTAAGTCAGCAACGCGGCATATCAACCGTTTCATATTGGAATTGACGGTGGGTAGAACCCAACTGTGCCTAAAGAAACCGCGAATCCTAGATTTCATGCTTGATAATCAATGACATTTGTCCGTGGTCTCTTGCACACTAATGCACGAGTCGAAACGGAGTATCACTATGAAAGTGCAAAGGGGCGAACACGCGGGGAAGTCAGCATCAGCAATCTAAGGCAGGTGCAGCGGCCTGAGTATTGGAAATCTGTTGAAGCGCCAGGCATGGCACAGTTCGTCAGAACATCCAGTAAGGCGTGCTTACATCTCAATTGACATTACGGCGGGCAGTTTACTCTGCACCGCGTTAGGGCGTTCTTCTTAGTTGCTACTATAGCCTGGGATTCCACTCTTACTATGAGTTACTTGAGGCAAACCATGTCAACCGATACAAGTAGTAGCCAAATGAATAGGAACGGATTTAATAACTGCCTGGTAGGCTTTTTCAATGATGTTACATGCATGTGTATGTATGTGTGTACGTGCAAGTGTACACATACTTACTATATTATATTACTAACGTACTAGCCTATAGAAGCCAGTGCCAAGCATTGCTCAACACTACGTAACGGTCTACCGTAACTCTTCGCTTTTGCGCTAAACCAAAGCTTACTGCGTACTTTCATCACTTCTCGTGCCTGGTGGAGATACTGGGTTACCCCACGTCCACAATGCTACAGCCACGGATAACAGCGCCGCTACGCCGCATATTGCTGTCCAGACCTTCAATATGTTTGAGATGTCAGACACGCCTTGTAACTGCATCAATTGCACAGCAGTCATTTGTTCGGACCTTCGCATCCGCCCAAAGTCTCTGCCGACCAGCGACGGATCCAAAGGCTCCCGAGTCCGCACCTACACCCGACCCCAAAGATGAAGACATATTCATTCCCAAGCCCCTCGGCCGGCCCATTGGCTTCAAGTCTCCCCCACAACCAGGCGAAAATGCTAGCATACCAAAGACGAAAAAAGATTATTCTGGCATGACGATGTCACAGCGGAATCTGGAGAAGCGCAAGGACCTGGTCGAAAAATGGGGCACGAACTATTTTCGCGACTTCAAGAACATTCGCAAATACAGGTCAGGCAAGACATTCATGGCAAACCCAAGGATCTTCAAGAAAGAGGCGGCGTTGTACTTTCCGAACTTTCATGGTGATACACTGGAGGGGAAAAACAAAGACACGACCAATGTATTGGCGGGGAAGGTTACTGTGGTGAATGTGTACAGTTCGCAATGGGGTTTAAACCAGGTGGAGACGTTCACTGGCGCTAAGGCGAATGCCAATCTGCATAATATGCTTGCACAGCATCCAGGGGTAGCCCAGATGGTGGATGTTAACATTGAAGAGAACACCATGAAGGCATGGATCATTTCACTCTTCCAGTGGCGGTTGAAGGCCTCGAAACCAAAAGAGGATTGGGACAAATACTTCATTGTCAGGAAAGGAGTCAGCGAGAGGATACGAGAGACAATTGGCTTGCTGAACGGTAGGGTTGGATACATCTATCTTGTGGATCAAGATTGCAAGATTCGATGGGCAGGGAGCGGAAATGCAGAGGGCACAGAGATGGAGGACATGAATAAAGGGTTCGCCAAGCTGATTGCCGAAGCGCAATAACGCTCCAACAGGAAGAAGCATTGTAATGTTGTAAGATACTTGTACATCATGACGGCTCAGTCGCCTTGTATAAAACAGACCAGAACAAGGTCATGAGGATATCCCACCCGCCCAAACGCCGCGTATGAATATGATAGATCAAAGACAATCACCTGAACCATAAGAGCATTAGGAAGCAGAAAGCGATGAAACTCGCCAGTATGATGCCGTCTCTTCGTTTCTTGGACCCAATCCTTCCCATCAAACTGTTGATCCCGGGCACCTGGCTTGCAGCACCCACTATTCTCCGGTTGATGTTCGCCAGCGTTTCCCTCTGTATGGTAAAGTTCTCTTGTACTGCATATGCTTGGCTAAGAACTGAATCAGCCATGTTATGTGAATTGTCGATGCGGTTCCGTTCGTCAAGCATATAATCGGCTTCAGCTTGGTTGGCTGAACGATATGCGTCGATGTCTGATCGTACGTTGGAAAGTAGGTTGGCTCGGTTTCGGGCGTCGTTCAAAGAGGACTTGAGACGAGCAAGCTCACGGCGGTGATCTGAGAGTACTTCGCGATGTCTGGCAAGGTTGTTCTGCTTGACGGCGGAAGAGCCATGAGCGGATTCAGAGTCGAGTAGTCGTGATAGCTGAGCCACAAGCGCGTCCCGCTGCTCAAGGATTTCTTGCAGCCTAGTCTCTACCCGCAGCTCCTCCTCTGATGGTTTCGCCGGAATGTTTGGTGTCGAGCCGAACTGTGAATATGTGTGGAACAGCGTCTCAGTCTAGCATTCTACGTTAGCAGGGCGGTTGTGAAAGCGGGCCAAATGCGCCGCAGTAGCGAACGAGTGAAGCCT